GAAGAGACAGGAAGAGGATACAGACTAGTTCCTTCTGATATGTTGTGAAGTTGCAAAGTTTACCAAGCACTGTGTACATAGTAGCAAAATCTCAGAAGAAACCACTTTGACCTAGGGAAGTGTTTCTGAATTATTCTGCCATCAGTGCATTTGTTTATTCCCTGGAGTTTCCTTTCCAAATACATAAATACAAACTATTGCTGACAGATTCCTTGCCTCTTTATTTAATGTGGTAACACTAGTATTTCTCCATCTTTTTTTTAATAGTTTCCTAAGGAGACTTATGAAAGCCATTTTTCAAAATTTCCTCCCAGAAATTCTCATATTACAGATATAATTTATATCTTTTTATGTACAATAAGCTTCTGGAAGACCACAAATCATTATACAACCTAAAATTGTTATTGTTCCCTGAGAAGTCATTTTGCTCCCTTAAGAAACATGAGCACACTAAGAAAGTCAGGTGAGTTTTATAACTTTGATGGTAAAAAGGGAATCAACCACAAAAAGTGAATGCAAAATCCATTAACTATGAAAGGTGAACAAAAATATTTACAAAGCAACAAAAATTTTCTTGTATTAAGAGGGTAAAATAGTTTAGTATGATTGGCTTAAATTAACATATAAAAATAATAATAGATGAGGTTAATTGCAGGAGTCAATAAACCTTAATAAAAAATTCTAATTAAGTGTTATCATAGTAATATTACTGTATTTTATCTCCATTGTAGCCAATTCATATTCTTTTACAACTCCTCATCTCTGCAGGAAATAAGACCAGTTTTTAAAAGGAAATATAAACAAAGTACAAAAGTATGAAAAAATATAAAGTCCTTGTTATTAAATCTACTTCCTGGCATTTATAATTAACTTAAAAAAATATTTGGGTGTAACAGTCATGCAAAGATTAGCGTAAACAAGTAAAAGACTTGTAGAATTATTTCTGACCTATGATAAATAAAAAGCCTTGAATTCTATAGCATAAAGCAGAAAAAGAGGTTTTCCATAAAAATTTTTAGTACATAGGCAAAAGAAAATAAACTTGTAAAAATACTTAAGTCATATATCAAAGTTCCATTCTTGTCGCAAATGGCTGAGACATCTTTTTCTTTAAGAGCAGAGTTGTGTTTCATTAGGTTTCATACTACACCTATTTTTCCAGTAATCTTCTGATAGATATTAAGGTTTAGCCCATGTTTTGAAGCAATAGCACAGCAGGTAGGGCATTTGCCCTACACGTGGCTGACCCGGGTTTGATTCCTCGATCCCTCTTAAAGAACCCAGCAAGCTACCGAGAGCATCCCGCCTGCATGGCAGAGCCTGGCAAGCTCCCTGTGGCTTATTCATTATGGCAAAAAAAGGTAACAAGTCTCACAATGGAGATGTTATTGGTGCCCGCTTGAGGAAATCAATGTGCAAATCGATGAACAACTGGAGGACAGTGGACAGTGGACTATGAATAATGACTTTTTAATTTTTGATTCCCCTCCTCCTTTTTTATTGAATCACTGTGAGATACAGTTACAAAGATTTCATGATTTCAGTCATACAATGATCATGCCTCCAACAGTGTACATTTCCCATCACTAATGTGCCCAGTATTCCCTCCTGCCCCCGACCCCACTCCCCGGCAGACAATTTCCTTCTTACTTTTTCTATACTTTTGGGCAATAATGACTTTTCAAAACTTAAGGGCAGAGAGCCAGAGAGACAGTACAGTGGGTAGATTGCTGGCCTTGTGTGTGGCCAACCCAGGTTCAATACCTGGTACCACATACGGTTCCCTGAGTCCTACCAGGAGTTATCCCTGAGTACAGAGCCAGGAATAAGTCTTGAGCACTGCCAGGTATGTCCCTCCCCAAAAAGTAATAAACATAAACATAGAGGTAAAATTAGTTTTGTGTTTTCATATCTTATGTGAATACCAGAAAAATATGTCTGGTATTTCCATATTTATTTTTTTAAGGATTCTAATATCATTTTCCTTGGAGCCTGTACTAATATATATTACCACTATATACTAGGGCTCCTATTTCTCCATACTCTTGCCTACATTTGTTGTTTTCTATCTTTTGTATATAAACTGTCTTTTCATCCTTACTGGTATGGAGAGATATCTCATTGCAGTTTTGATTTACATTTCTCTGACATTAGGTCATGTTGAACATTTTCCCCCCATGTGTCCGAGTTATCTTCTTTGCAGACTTCTCCATTGAAAGAATCTGAATAGGTCTTTTTAAAACTTGGGTTGCTTGTTGTGTGTATTCTTTATATATTTAGATATCATCTTCCTTAGATATATGATATGCAAATATCTTCGAAGTGCTAAGTGCCTTTTTATTTTACAATAGTTTCTTTTGTTGATTAAAAGTTTTCAAATTTCAGGTAAAGTTCTATTTGCTAGTTCTTAATTTTGTTTCACTTCTCAATTGAGTTGACTCTTCAAAAATATCTTTAAAACTGAAGTTTGAGAGTATATTACCTATGTTTCATATGCATTTTATGGTTTTAGGTCTAATATCCAAGTCTATTCTGTTCAGAGGATGTGTGTGTGTGTTTGTGTGTGTGTATGTGTGTGTATGTGTGTGTGTGACATTTAAATAGTATTCCACTTTGATATTTGTTTTGGAATGTGGCTGTCAAGTTTTATCAACACCACTGAAAGAGTTTTCCTTTCTTTGTTGTATGTACTTCACTCTATTGTCAATTTTGGTGGGTCTTTTGTTATCACAAAAAAATTAGAATTGTTTATTCTATTTCCTTGAAAACGTCTATCAGTATTTTGATAGGAATTGCACTGACTCTAAATTACTTTAAGTAAAATGGATATTTTAATAATGCTTTTACTTCTAATTCATGAACATGGGTCTTTTTCCATTTCTTCATTTCTTCTATTACTTTTAGTAATCTCTTATTTCAGGGTATACAGATCTTTCACCTCCTTTGTTAGGTTTGCTGTCAGATAGGTAAAGGTAAAAAGTAAAGGCCCTCCCGTTGATCATCGATTTGCTTGAGCGGGCCCAGTAACGTCTCCATTGGAGACTTTGTTGTTACTGTGTTTGGCATATCAAATACGTCACGGGGAGCTTGCCAGGCTCTGCCGTGCGGGCGAGATACTCTCTGTAGCTTGCCGGGCTCTCCGAGAGGGGCGGAGGAATTGAACTCGGGTCGGCCATGTTGGCTGTGTGCAAGGCAAACGCCCTACCGCTGTGCTATTGCTGTCATATATCTTTTTTTATTTTTTAGGTTTACTCTCAGACATCTTATCTTTTTGGATGCAATTATAAATGGATTGTCTTCCTTCCTTCCTTCCTTCCTTCCTTCCTTCCTTCCTTCCTTCCTTCCTTCTTTCCTTCCTTCCTTTTCCTTTCTTTTTCTTTCTCTCTTTCTTTCCTTTTCTCTCCCTCTTTCTCTCACTCTTCCTGGGATGGGCACATACAACAATGCTCAGGGTTCATCCTGGCTCTGTACTCAGAGATCAATTCTGGCTGCTGGAGGGGTTGGGATTGGGGTTGAGACATATGGGTGGCCACGGATCAAACCGGGGTCAGTCACATGCAAGGCAAGCACCTTACCTTCTGTGCTATCATGCTGACCTGGAATTCTTTTCTTAATTTCCCTTTTTATCTGACTCATTAATTGTATACAGAAATGCAACAGATTTAAACAAACTAATTTGCATCCTTAGACAACTGCTTTTAGGACGCAGAATTCTTCAGAATTTAATAATGAAACAGTGCACATACTAATTATAAAATTTCCTATGGAGGTCTGAGGTAGCATTTAGTCATCAAGTACAAGAATGTTTCTTTGTTTTTTTAGGGAAGAGCACAAGTGCACTCACCCACTACACCACAAATTATGCAGTTGAGCTTCCCACATTTGGTGAAATTGCATGGGTCAGCACATCTGGAATGCAATGAACAAAACTTGCCCTGGAAAAATCACCTTCATGATCACATTATCTCCCCTGCCAGAGAAGTATGATGAAATACTAAAGTGTGATATGGTGCTGATCAAGAACTGAGTGTTAAAAGTAGGTAAAGGGATATACTGGATAACCTTTCAGTATCTGTATTGCAAACCACAAGGTCCAAAAGAGGAGAGGGAAGAAGGGACGAATGCGGGGTGGGGGGGGAGAGAGAGAGAAAGAGAGACAGAGAGACAGAGAGAGACAGGTACAGAGAGAGACAGAGAGAGACAGAGAGAGAGAGAGAGAGAGAGAGAAGAAAAGCACCTGCCATAGAGACAGGCAGGGGAGTGGGGATGCGGGGTGATGGGAGGGAACCCGGGGACACTGGTGCCGGGAAATGTACACTGGTAGAGAGATGGGTGTTGGAACACTGTATGACTGAAATCCAATCTTTAACAGCTTTGTAGGGTTTATCTCACAGTGATTCAATAATAAAATCTTAAAAAAAATAAATAAAGTGTGATATGGAGGAGCAAAATAGGGGGAGTAGGGGAGAAGACCGAGAGAGACCCTAAGATACCGGTGGAAGGAACTGGACACTTTGGTGGAGAGTGCCGTGTCAGAATGTCACACTCATGAAACCCCTGACACTGAAAGTATTGTGAAACTGTAAATTATGGTGATTAAACTAAAAGTTAATAAATAAATGCATATAAATAACCTAATGCATGTCAGATTAGGTTTTTTTAATTTTTATAAAGTTGTTCACCAATAAGTTGTTACATTTAATATTCCAACACCAATTTCACCACCATTAAACCTAACCACTACTTTCTCCCTGGCCTGTTTCGTGATATTTAATTATTTCATTCCACTAGGTTGAAAAGGCATGGAACAAGTATGTAATAAAAGAAAAAATCATAAAATTCTGAGACTAATGACCAGGGCAACAGACAATCATAAATTACCATCTCAGTATTTAAAAAGAAATCAGAAAACTTAATGTTTTCTACTAAATTAGATATTTTTACGTTTAAATTTGTTATAGGAAAGAAAAGAATATTAAAATCTACGTTGTTTTTCTTACCTGAAGTCAAATTCCTAGCTGTACTTTGAGACTTCTGCATTTCGGTAGATTTAAAGCTAAGGTCATCTTGCATCATCTTTAGCTCTTGATTGGTGATAGAGGTTATCTGTTTCATTCGATTTATGTTCTGTATTTGTAAAGAAATAAAAATTTAAAAAACCTACCAATCAAAGTATGGGATTTTTAAAATAGGCAATTTTTCTGAAATACATACTTTGTTTTATACATATATATATTTATTTATAGAGAAATAGAGCGAACTTTAAATAGGTTTTTTTTTTTCAAAAAAGAGGCTTAATAAAAAGTAAGAAATATTTTTTATTTCACTGTAGGTAAAAATTCACTACATAATTATAGGAATTTATTGGAGAACTTAAAACTAATAGAATATAACCTTTTTTTTTGCCTTCTGTATCATTACATATTAAGTAGCTCCTCAACAAATATTTTTTGGTGAACCATGATATGCATTATATATCTGGTACTATAATACATTCTTACAAGAATTCCTTCTATGTATAATACAAATTGCAGTATAAAAATACCTTGAAATGTTATAATAAGATCCTTAAACTTTGTAGATATCAATGCAAATTTTACTTCTATGAGTTCCCTAAGATTAACAACTAAAATATTAATACTCTAAATTAGTCCCTCACTTTTATACACAATATTGATATTTATGGGTCCTTTCCTTTTCTCCTATCTTGCTAATTAGTTAAATCTTGATAAAAGATAAAAATGAGTAGCTTAACTAACAAGCAATTTAAATAAGCAAGGACTATTTAAATGACCCTTCCTGTATTTTTTGAGTTGTATTTGGAAAATTAAGTTTACAAAAATCATTGCACTAAGACAGATACATGATACTTACTCTACTACAGTGCTCCAAAAGTGCAACAATGCTGGCTTCTATTTGTGCTTTCCTTTCCAGTTCCTGATTCTTAGTTTCTTCAAAAGTCTCAATAAAAGCTGCCGAGGAGAAAGTTTAATGAGAGGCTATTGTTGATAGCATAAAAACTATATGAACTCTGCTTTACAGGTCTGGAGATTACATTTGGGAATGCCAAAGCAAGTTTTAAACTAAGGTTTAATTGCTAATTCAAGGGTAATTGCTCAATAAGAACACATCCTTTTAAACTTTGTATTCTACTCTTAATACAAAAAAACTAAAATTTTATAGAAAAACTTTTCACATAGTATCTCCTGGATGCATTTATAATTATTAATATTTATAATGAGCCACTATTCTTATCTCTGAAAATATTACCAAATACCTATTTTATCTAAAAATTGAGTATTTTACTCATAAAGTACTACAACTCAAATTCTCTTCTTATCTATTTTCCTTTCTCTTGCCAATGTCATGGATGTCTCCCTTCTTGAACAGTAGTACGGTCCTGCTGGTTTTCCATTGGGACGGAACCTTGCATTCAGACAGGTAGTGAGTGAAGAGCCGAGCCATTGTATTGATGAGTACTGACGGCAGGTTCTTCAGGTGTTCAGGTCTGACCTTGTCTGGGCCAGGTACTGTTTGTTTCTTTACCGACGAAATGGCATGTCGGATTTCGGAAGGGAGACCGTTGGAAACGACATATCCATCCTGTGGAATTTGGTATGTCGGCAAGTGGACATGGCTATCGAAAGAGATTTGAGTAGAAGTCATGGATAATCTTCTCCATTGCCGTTCTGGAGGATGTGATGGATCCATCAGGACGTCGGAGGGCAGTCATCTTGGTCTTGTAGTTGGCGAAGGACAGGCGGGCGTTACGAATACTTTTCCCGGCTTCTGCCGCATCTACCAGTACTTCTGCTCTTCTCTCTTTGAGGTCTTCCTTGATCGCATCTCTGCACTGCTTTGCGAGCTCGGACGTTAGCTTGCAGTTGCCTGAGGCATGCGCCAAACCACGCTGGCAAATTAGCTCAAGAGTTTTCGAAGATAGGCGATTTTTTGTGGCTATCTCTCTCTTGGCGTTCCTCGCACATTCATGGAGGTGCTGAACCAGTCAATCATATTTCTCGTCAATGTTGTCAACAATGGCATCTTCCCATGTTGCCGCAATAGTGCCAAAGAGTTCCCAGTTGGTGGTCATTCTGGGAGTTCTCTTTTTGAACTTTGCAGCCCTTTCTCCCCACTCTGTGAAGTAGAATTTTGCACGAAGGAGACGGTGGTCCGATCCCATTCGAAATTTTGTGACAACAGCGACATCAGTTTGGCAACTATCACCCGATCTGCCTATTGTCTGTCATCTACAAGTTGTTCACTCGAGTCATCCTAAATAGGATTGGCAGAACACTAGATGAAGGACAACCATGCGAGCAAGCCGGGTTCCGCAAAGGATTCAGCACCATCGACCATATCCAAATAACCAAACTCATTGAGGTTTCTCGGGAGTTCAAGATGCCGCTCTGTTTAACGTTCATTGATTTAAAGAAGGCCTTTGATTCTGTTGAGACAGAAGCGGTCATTGAAGCCCTAGCCAATCAGGGCATTCAAGTCCAATACATCAGGATCCTCCGTGAGCCGTATTGCGGATTCACTACCAGGATCTCACCATTCTACAAAGAAGTGACCGTTGATGTTAGGAGAGGGGATCGGCAGGGTGATACCATTTCACTGAAACTCTTCAGTGCCACCCTCGAGAACATTATGCGCCGACTGGAATGGGAAGGAATGGGAGTGAAGATAGATGGTCGGCAATCACACCAGCTCCGCTTTGCTGATGACATTGTTTTAATAACACCAAACATCAGCCAAGCGGCACAAATGCTGGCCGACTTTGACCGTGAGTGTGGAAAGGTAGGACTACAGCTGAATCTTACGAAGACAATGTTTATGAGAAACAGCCTCGTTCCTGATGCCCCATTCGCTCTCAACGGAACCACCATCTCCGAATGCAACAGCTATGTGTACCTAGGTCGAGAGGTCAACATGACAAATAACCTGGCACCCGAGCTGCGCACGAGGAAGAGAGCGGCTTGGAACGCCTTCAAGAACGTCGAAGAAATAGCTAAGAGGACGAAGAACCTCCGGCTCTGGGCACATCTCTTTGATTCCACTGTTCTTCCTGCATTAACATATGCCTCAGAGACCTGGGCCCTACGTAAACAAGATGAGAACGCTATTCAGGTCTCCCAAAGAAGAATAGAAAGAGCTATGCTTGGAATATCACGTTTCACTCAAATGAGAGAAAGAATCTGGAGTTCTGACATCCGTCGACGATCAAGAATCAGGGACGCTGTCTCATTTGCCAAGGTGTCTAAAATCAGATGGGCTGGTCACGTAATGAGATTTAAAGACGACCGCTGGACTAGAGCTGTTACCAACTGGATTCCACGGGATGTCAAAAGACCGCGTGGCCGCCCACCTACCAGATGGTCAGACTTCTTCATCAAGATCATGAACGGTTTGAGGCCCTTCATGTTCCGGAGCGAACAGATGCCATTGGGCTACACTGCACGTGACAGGGACAAATGGAGACGTTACTGGCGCCCGCTCGAGCAAATCGACGACTAACGGGAAGTTAAGTGATTAAGTGATTTCCTTTCTCTAAACATAATTTATGGTTTACACTCTTCAAATTGTAAAAAAATTTGATTTTAATAATTTAAAGTTTATTTTTATTGGATAACATATAATGAAGTTCAAGTCTCTCAAGAGTTCTAAGAATTTTCAAAGTTAATATTCTTGTAATTCACATATTGGTAACTCACACACACACACATACACAGCGTCTTGATCAATAATTCTATCATAACCCAGATACCTTAATCAGTACTATTCCTGTGAAGAGAAACTACTAACCTAACCTCTAACTTCACAGATACTGTATCTTGTTTTTTATTTATATTAATGATAGCAACTTATTTCTTTAGGATGAAGAGGTTTTCAAATTAAAGAAGCAAGTACCAAAAGTACCAAATTAAGAATGAAAAGAAAGCAACATTACTATGTAGAGGCCCTCCCGTTTATCATCGATTTGCTCGAGCGGGCCCAGTAACGTCTCCATTGGAGACTTTGTTGTTACTGTGTCTGGCATATTGAATACTCTCGGTAGCTTGCCGGGCTCTCCGAGAGGGGCGGAGGAATCGAACTCGGGTCGGCCATGTTGGCTGCGTGCAAGGCAGACGCCCTACCCGCTGTGCTACCGCTCAGGTACTGTACTGTAGCAGCAGTAAGGTCCTCCCGTTGATCATCGATTTGCACAAGTGCGCACCAGTAACGTTCTCACAACAAACTGTGAGACTTGTTGTTACTGTTTTTGGCATACTGAATATATACTGAATACATCACGGGGAGCTTACGGAGCTTACTGAAAAATATTTTTAAAATATTTAATGTAATGATATGACATAGAAAATAAAGAACACTCTTAAAGAAAATACTCTATAATTCTACTGCTAAAAAGGAGGTATTTAACTTCACATTATTTCTGTACCTGCCAAAAAATAAAACTTACAGGTAAAATTAATTATACTGTTAGCTTTGAATAGTGAATTAATATTAAGATACTTTTGGTACCTGTTGAAATTTAATAGAAATCTTGAGATGCTGTTAAGTCAAAAGTCAGCAATTGCTGCTTTATAATATTCTTGTTGGAAGTGAACACCAAACCTATAAAACTTCAGAGTCTATTAGGGAAGAAGATCAATGATAGAACCCATGCTTTGAGTAAGTAAGGACATTAGTTTGATCCTGATAGCACACAAACACACACACACAGTCACACACACACACACAAACTCACACACACACATACACATACATACTTCTAACAAAATGATAATTAAGAAGGAAATCAATACGGCCAGAGAGATGCCCCCCTTAAATTAGAGCACCTGCTTTGCATGTAGGAGTCCAGATTCAATCCCCTGCAACACTTGTCCCTTATGCTCTACTGGGTGTGTACTCACCCCAAAAACATATTTTAAAGAAGGAAACCAAAAATAGATAATACATATTAATGTTTAAAGTTTCTGAATATATAATGTAAGTGGAAGTAAAGATCTACTCATAAAGCCCAATTAACATTTTTTTCAAATGTGACAATAGGATATTAAAGTCACAGATGGTAACAGAATCAAGTAATAAGATCTGTTATAAGGGCTAATAAATGAGATATATATTATAAAATATTTTTTAAAAATTTTTAAAAAGTGAAAGATATTAAAGGTGAATCTAATGAAGCATACAAAAGAAAGCAATTAGTGATCTACAAATACTCTCTACAGACTATGAAAGTGAAGACTAGTTTTAGAATCTGTCCCCAACACAGAATCATATACACATATACACATATCTAAGGACTGTTTTCAGAATTCTCTACCCATGCCTAAATTATGTCAGCTATCTAGTATTAAAAAACCGCTTTCAATATCCATACTAAGGCATTTATTATTAGTGTTAGATCTCTGATTTGAATCTCTGATTCATAAAAATGAACTAAGTTTCTAATTTGATATAAAATTAAGTTATTTGAGAATATGACATTTATATATCTACAATATTATCACTTACTATCCATATTTTCCTCTCTTTTTTTAAGCTCCTTGTACTTCTGATTCATTTCACCTATAAGAAATATAAAATACAACATTAATTTCAAAGACACCAAATATTGCTCTAAATTAGAAATATGACTTTGGAACTATACTTGGTAATGAAGGTTATATAACTCGACTTTGTTGATAAATCTGCATTGAACAAAAACACTAAATAATTGCATTCACTTAAAATTATAATGTCAGGTGTCAATTTTAACTAAATAAGAAATAAATTAAAAGTATCTTTTAGGTACTCTATATACCATTCATCAACCTAAAATACTCAATATTTCATTAATATAAAATTCTTTCACACTGGTTTACAGTTTCTTAAAATAGCAATCTCTAAATGTCTATTTAGGGAAATCTTTTCCTGACTAGAAAGGATTTAAAGACTTTACGATGAATACTTTATTCCCTACTTGAGGTATTCAATCATGAATACTACCAATAATAAGAAACTGGCATCTATCCAAGAGCCTCAAAACACTATCTGGAAAAACCTTTTGCACTCCTATGTCCATTTTAGCAACTGGTGATGATAAGGACTTACTCCTGCCTCTACACACAGGGATCACTCCTGACAGGTTCAGGGGATCATATGGGGTACCAGGGACAGAACCCAGGTAGGCAACATGGAAGGCAAGTGCCCTACCACTGCATGATCTGGCCCCACTCTTGTGTTCATTGTAGCACTGTTCACAATAGCTAAGATCTGGAAACAATAAAGTACCCAATCACAGAAGACTGGGCAAAGAAACTATAGTAAAATCACGCACTGGGATAGTACCCAGCAATGAGAAAGATGAAATCACATGATTTGCTGCTCTGCGGGTTGAAGTACAGGTATTATGCTGAGGGAAGTCAGTGAGGAGGAGGACAAATATAGAATGGTCTTTCTCATATGTGGAATATAAAGAAACATAGTAAGGGGAAAACAAGTGGCCAAAGCCTACTGAAGCTAAGAGTTGCCATACAGAAACTGAATTTACCAAGAGGGTGAGGGGGTGGGTGCCAGGGGACCTTGACACATTGGTAGAGGAATACTGACACTCTGATGTTGGGTGTATTCCTGAAATCTCATTAAAAATACTCTATAATTATAGAGTATTTTTATAGTATTGTAAACCATATATAGTATAGTATTTTATAGTATTATAAACCATAGTAGCTAAATAAAAATTGAAAAAATAAAAGGAAAACAAGTTCTCAAGAAAGTTCATTTTATCTTTTAAAAGTCTATAACAGCATAAAATATTTTGTGGGGAAATGAGTTATGAGTACACAAAGATGACAGCAAAGACAAAGATCGAAGTAATTGTTATCTTTTTAGCTTTCTGGGCTATATTTTTTCCTAAACACACCAAGGTCATCCCTGACAGAGAGAAAATCTTGCCAATGCTGCCAAAGCAGTATTGGTAGTAGAAAGTTCAAAGTGACTCAAAAGGAAAGTCACTATCCAAAGACAGTAAATATCCAGTGGCCCTGAATACCTACCCAGGCAGCACCCAAAATCAAAGGGAAACACTGGGTCCATGTTGAGTGAGACTATGATGCATTAATAATTTCACTTCAAATGACTAACTGCAAACAATAAACAAGGGCCCAGAGCATGCTGACATAGCACAATTGGTTGTGATGGGGGAGGGAGAGATAATTAGTTATGGGAACAAAGCTCATGTATGTTTACATAAAAAATATATAGAGAGTATTTCTTAAATGGTAATAATACCACCCTCTCCTTCCTCCCCTACCCCCAGATGCTAAAATAATAAATGCTAAAAAATAAAATAAAAAGGGGTGATGGTAGGACACTTTCTATTATTTTACTTAAAGAAGGTAGATTTTCAGAAGAGCACTGAGTAACTTTTTTTTTCCTGAAAAATGAGAAGTAGGTCAGATAGGTCTGGAAACCTTTGCTATAAGTGATTTGAGATTAGCTAAATAAAAATGTCACCATTTGGAGGCCAAAATGATAGTACAGTGGCTAGAGTATTTGCCTTGCGTATGGTTGACCCAGTTCCACTCCTCAGCATACCATATAGTCCCCTGAGCCCTGCCAGAAGTAATCCTGGAGTGCAGAGCTAGGAGTAAGCCCTGTGAGCTGTGATTGGGGTATGGCTCCAAAAACCAAAGAGAAAAGAAGACTCACCCTATGGCAATTTTTTTCCCAATGATTTTTTTTTTGTGAGAATAACAGAGAATGAGTTAAAGTTTTAGCACACAGCATGTGGAATAGCCTCAATGGAGGATGATTCACATGTAAATATACATTTAAGTAAAAGAAAAACTAGTATCTGCTCAACTTTCCATGGCATAGATTACTAAAATAACTCTACTTCCTTGAATTGGCTCTGTGAGAAGTTACACTCTTGATAGATTGGTCAGGTAATAAGATATAATGAGGAAGACCTATATCATAGGCTTCATAGCAATTTAACTATTTCATCTTTTCTCCTCTAAACTTAAACAGAATTTCCTGTATATACTACGCCAGCCCTTCACCTAGCAATTAAACTTTAATCTATAAAAAAAATTCTGGCCTTTTATTGACATCATTCTCAGTAACATTATGACTCCATCAAATCTAAGGGAGAAATTTCCAGTCCTTATCTTAGTGAAACAACATTTGATTTACCAACTCAGTCCCACTTCTTTCAATTTGAGTAGTTGAACTCTGGCTTTTCTTAACTCGGATTATGCCTCTTCTGTCTTCAAGATTTTCTTGCCTTTTCATTTAAACTCTGTGTTCTGCTGTAAAAGGACTTCTAAAGCTACATTATATGCAAGGAAATCCCATTCATACTTGTGGTTTAAGAATTCTCAAATTTGACCTTTTCCCTAATTCTCATATTGTCGCATCCAATTGCTCACTTGACAAAATCAAGTGAACCTCTTTCAGGATATACCAATACTCAGTATATTCAAAATTTGAAAGTCTAGACCTCTCGGTATTCCCTACTGTTTGGAAGGAGCTTCATTGTGAATAGCATCCAAATCACAACCCCCAGAGATTTCTCCTCTATCTCCCTACAAATCGACATCCCTGGTAGTCATCAGTTTGAGTTGGAGGGCATATCTGGTCTGTGTCTCCTGCTGCACAGCTGGACAGCTGGATTAGATAGAACAGAGTGTCCACGTATCTGAAGCTCTGTTAAAGCTCCTCCTACATAACTTTTTGTAGAAGGCAATAGTGAGTTCCTCTATTTTGTGATTTTTTTCAGTTGCAGAATTAAATATCTGAGCAGCACATGAAAAGTGATATAAAGTGTGGCAGTCCTAAAATGGGATAAAATACAGGAATAATTATCAAATCTACCTTTAGATTATTGTAAGAAGGGACAGATAGGAGGTAGCTAATCACTACATCACACGGAGGTGCAAAACAAGTGAACAGAAGAATTGACTGTATTAAGATCAGGAATGAGGAGGAAACAAAGAAGAGGTAAAAAGACATGCTGAGAAAATTAGGGTTGTCTGGAGCTATGCTCAAATTCTAAGCATTTAATGTGGTTACAGTTCTACATAATTTGTTACACATTTGCTGAACATCTCTGATCTAAGTGTCAAATACTGTAACAGGTGTCAGAGATATGAACATAAACAATATAGCTAATTTTTTACTGTAGAAGAGCTTATAATTTACTAGGTATGTGGAAGCAAATAGGTACAGTGCAATTTAAGTGCCATATGTGTGATATGTGAGAAGTAATCTGGTATCTAGAAGGTAAAGAGAGTTCAGGATATTTTTACAAAGAAAGCAAGATACCTTAACAGGTATTATAGCAATTATAAAGATGAATAAAACTATTCTTCTTCAAGAAATTTAAACCCTCCTAAGTATATAAAAATGTACAGTATTAGTTCATGCTATTAATTTTTAAAATTTAATTAGGTCACTATTAAATTTTCCTCTCACAGCGATGAAAGAAGAAATGGTATAGATCTTTCCAAAATACTTAGGGTATTGCAGAAAGGACATAGTTTCTTGTTACTCTCTGCTATCAGCAGCAAATGGACTAAAGAAGTTATGCTCTTGTGCTATCAAGGAGGCTGACTACCACCATAACCACTTCTGTCCTCTTTGGGAAAAAGTTCATGTGAGTCTACTTCTTTAACACTATGTGATATTGTCTTGGCTCAGGGCTTACAGAACTATCAATGCTGACAAGTAGTTCTGACGCTGGAGAGATATTTTCCAAAATGGAAAACTACCCCAATTTTCTCCCAGTATTTCTGACTGTCCCTTATGTGGCATGGCTTCAGTCTCTCCATCTTTTTACCCATTTCACTCTTTCTGAGTTATAGTTCTTCTCTAACCCTTGTATTTTTAAAACTTTTAGGGATTAAACATAGGTCTTCTGCATACACACTATCCTTCAAAAAACATCTTTTGATTGGCTTCTGGGTCACACTTAATAGTGCTTCGGTTTTACTCTCAATTCAGTGCTCAGGGGCCCTGTGGTACTGGGGATCGCATTTGGGACTTCTTGCATGCATAGCTTGTACTCCAGCCTATTGGGCTCTCTCTTTGGTCCCTTCATTTATATTTTAAAGCACGGTGTAAAAAAAAGACTCCAATAATTTCTCAGAGTCCTTATATCTTAGATCTTTTTGTTAATACAAAGTCATCTATTCTGGGAGCTGTATCACTTAACTAATTAACGCTAAACTATTACGTAAAACTCCTCTAATATTTTCACATCTTTTACTTAAGTCGGGCTGGAAAGATAGCACAGCAGGTAGGGCGTTTGCCTTGTACACGGCCAATAGGGCCAACCCCGCTTCAATTCCTCCGCCCCTCTCGAAGCGCCTGGCAAGCTACCGAGAGTATCTCACCCGCACAGCAAAGCCTGGCAAGCTTCCCGTGACATATTCGATATGCCAAACACAGTAACAACGAGTCTCACAATGGAGACGTTACTGGGCCCGCTCGAGCAAATTGATGAACAATGGAAGGACACAGTGCTTACTTAAGTCAGGACACGGTCTCTTCCCCCACCCCTATTTCAATATTGGTAGAGGTTCAATAAAATTCCAGTTTTTTACATTCAGTCTACCTCCCTCCTACTTTTTACAATGCATACTGAGAAACATTTGAATAGTAATAAATGCCATTTGAAATTTTAGATAATACAATTTATATAGGTTAATTTGTATATCCTGGAGAAAATACTTCCAAAATTTGTTTTAGAAAATGTCTTCAGTGAAAGCTGCATAATTTTTATTCTGTTCATAAAAGCATAACTACTAACAGACACTAACATTTATGTGCACTTTTCTGTTTATTTGTTCTTTTGAGCCACATTTGGTAGTGCTCAGGGCTTACTCCTGGTTGTGTTCAGGGATCACTCCTGGCAGGGAGTGGGGGACTCTCTGGGGTGCCAGGGATGAAAAGAGGTTGTACCATGCCACAAAAGATCCTTACCCACTGTGCTAGTTCTCCAGCGTCTTGTGTGCACTTTTTAAATTGTATGCTATTCTGGGTTATACATTATACACATACTCTATTCATCTAATATCCACAATAGTCTGAACAGGCAAGAGGCACTATTATTATCTGTTTTAAAGATGAGGAAATATGGGGATGGAGCAATAGTACAGCGGGGAGTGCATTTGCCTTGCACACGGCTGACCTGGGTTTGATCCCCGCATCCCAAATGGTCCCCCAAGCACTGCCAGAAGTAATTCCTAAGTGCAGAACCAGGAGTAACCCCTAAGCATTGCTGGGTATGGCCCAAAAACAAAATAAATAAATAAAAAGACGAGGAAATAATGGTACAGGAAGGTCAAGTAGTATGTACATATAAGTAAAATTGCACAGCCCAGTTTTGAATGTAGGAATTCTAATCGTAGAATAAAACTGAACAAAACTATGAACAAAACTATTTAGTTTTTATATTCCATTTTACTGAACACCACCAAAGAGTAAAAGCACTTGACCTAGGCTTGGAACTGAGTAGAAGGAAGAATGCTACAAAAAAAACCCAAACAAACAAAAAAGCAAAACAAAAAACCAGCAGTATTTTATATTTCATTTTTCTTGAAAAAAGAACACATATTAAGTTAAAATGAGTTCATTCAGAGCTTATAATAATGTAATGGTTCTCCATCATGACATTATTAGGATATACATTAACCACAATGCAGCAGTAAGATTTTTTGGTGTTATATTAATAAGCATATGATATTCACTCTTATACAAGCAAATCTAGCTGGTCTTCAGGAATATATAGTACTCTTAAAAATAAAGGAATGACAAGCCTGGAGCAATAGTACAGCGGGTAAGGTGTTTGTCTTGCACATGGCTGAGCTGTTTTCAATTCCTGGCATACCATATGGTCAAGGGCCACCAGGAGTAATTTCTGAGTGCAGAGCCAGGAGTAACCCCTGAGCATCACTGGGTATGACCAAAAAAGAAAAAGAAAAAAAAAATAGAAAAGAATATAATGACGGTGGGCAACATGAATTCTGTGGTCTGGTAGACCATAGCCACTGCATTATATTCTTTCACAATGATAGTAAGGTGTTCAGATTCTGTAAATCCAAGGGTTATAAGAACTTTTAAAAGAAGTGAAATTCTCTTAAGTCAGGATGAAAACATTCCGGAAAGCAGCTGGCAAAAGAGCTTACTGAAGATAATTCATATGAATTTGAAAAATATAGAAATGGACCTATCAAGTGCCAGCAAGAGGATTGGAACAAAATTATTGATGCAATTGCAGAGAGGAGGAGGGATCAAATAGAAACACCAAATTAAATTTATAATGAACAATTTGAAGCAAAATTAAAAACTACAGAAAACTGAGGACATCAAAGAAAGCAATATATCCATTTTATCTATGTCACTCTTAGAGGTGAAGAAATGCAGCTGGGAGAAAAAAAATGTTAGAGAAATTTTAACATGATGTGGAAAAATGAAAGATGTTTCTTAAAATTTTCACTACCTATAACTATTTCTTTAAGTGCATTTTAAAATGAGAGAGATTAAATGCTGAGTGTTAATGAGTTAAAGAGAGAGAGAGAGAGAGAGAGAGAGAGAGAGAGAGAGAGAGAGAGAGAGAGAAAGAGAGAGAAAGGGAATCCGCCTGCCACAGAGGTGGGGTTGTCAGAGGGAGAACAGTGGGTGGATGGAGGGATACTGGGACATCGGTGGTGGAGAACAACCACTGGTGGAGGGATGGGTACTCAGTCATTGTATGACTGAAACATAAGCATGAAAGCTTTTAAATCTGTAACTGTACCTTACAGTGACTCACTAAAAAATAAAAAAAAAATTAAAAACAAAATAAAATGTCCTTTGGAGACTTAGAATTTTTACCTTTCATAAGTTCCCTCAAATGGAAGGTTTGGAAATATATCTACATTACCATCTGCAAAACAAAGGTCATTATAGATGCTAGATTGCATTTTAACATTAAGTCTTGAAGATACAAATACTAAGTTGTGAAAATTCTGTTTGTAAATACAGAAATGCATTGAAGAAATAAAATGCTCATGCCATTAGGACAATGGCACTGACTGTATTTACTAATAATTGACAAAAACTTATCACAATTATATGTAAAATTTTCTTTGCAGTAATATATATTTTCCTCTCATTAATATTGTAAAAGGGGAATACAATAAGGAACTAACAATCTCTATGATAACACAATATTTTTCTTTTACTGTCATACCAGAAAATCATAATGGGCTCATATGCTGAGTGTTAATTTTGTTGAACTATTTTAACCTAATTTTTTTTTTTTTCAGATAGGCAACTGTAGATGTTTTGGGTAAGCTGAATAGACTATTTCTGAAATGGCATTACAGTCTATATAACTTCTACTTGGAGAATCCTTAACTCTAATTTAAGATTATTCCTGGTAACACAAGTTTTCTTTTCTAGTTTAGCAGTGATTTTGAAGGAGAGGAGTCCTTGTGCCTTGAAATTCTTGATTTCTTTTCTGTAAAATCCCACTTTCTTTGTTCAAAATCAAATTTATGAGCTGCATTTTTAGACACTGTTTGAAAATTAAATTAAACTTTTTAAAGCTTAAAAAGTGAAGGGAAGATTTGTTGTAATAACACCCAAAATTCCGTTAAGGAAACATCACTGAACTTTGTTTTGGGCTAGTCTACTATGCAGATGTCTAGAAAATTAGCTCCACCTTGTGGATTATGGTAATACTACAGATCAGGCCTTTTAGAACTTTTAGAAGTAGCTATTATCTAGATGGCAAAAACTATATCCTAAAGAGCCAACAATACTGTCAGAATGTGATACAAACTACAATAGCCAAACTAAAAATGTTCCTGTCAAGGAGGCATGCTGAGGGTGGGGAAAAAAACCTGGGACAAGAGTGGAGGGAAGTTGACACTGGTAGAATTGTTCGAACATTATATACCTGAAACTCAGTTATGAATAACTATCTAAACCACTGTGCCTTAGTGTTTTTACAAATTTTAATAAAATTAGTCAAAAATAATAAATTTATAGTAAGTAGCATTGATAAAGCACTTTCACATACTATATATAGCTGTATAGAAAGAGAGGGATGAAAATTTAGTGCAGATGTCAGTATAGCAAATATTAACAACAATAACAATGATGATATAATAACTGTTTCAGCAAAAATATACACACATCTATAAAACAATGTTTTACAGGTTCTGGAGCAATAGAACAGCGAGTAGGGTGCACGCTTTGCATTTGGTAGACCTGGGTTTGATCCTTAGCAGCCCATTATGGACCCTTGAACCTTGCCAGGAGTGATCTCTGAGCTCAGAGGGAGTGATAAGCCCTGAGCACAACTGGGTATGGCTCAAAACACCAGAAAGCAAAAACCAAAAAACAAAAGACCCAACCAAGATCAATGATATACAAGAAAGTAAATGTCTATACATATTACCACACACCACACAGACCCATTACTAAAGTGCCAAGGGAATTCCTTCTTTCTGGGTGACTCTATCCTCACACTTCCATAAACTGTAACAGTTATCCTACTTAATTAACTGTTGACTAGAATGATAAAATAGAACTTAGAAATCTTTAACAAGTTTAAATAATTTATTTTTTAAAAGTTTGAAGAAAACGGGCTGGAGCAATAGCACAGCGGGTAGGGCGTTTGCCTTGCATGAGGCTGACCTGGGTTCGATTCCTCTGCCCCTCTTGGAGAGCCCGGCAAGCTACCGAGAGTATCCCGCCCACGTGGCAAAGCCTGGCAAACTACCCGTGATATATTAGATATGCCAAAAACAGTAACAACAAGTCTCACAATGGAGATGTTATTGGTGCCCGCTCAAACATATCAATGAACAACGGGAGGATGGTGCTACAGAAGAAAATAAATTCTTGTCATTTTATAACTATTTTAGTTTATTCCAAATTTTCAACCAGATGTCATGAACATTACTTATAATCTTAGTATTAATTTTATTTTATATATACTATTAATTTTTAATTATATTAATTGCAATTGCATTAATTTTTATTTTGATTTATATATTCTAATAGAGTACTCAAAACCAAAGAGACAATTAAACCAATATTGCTATTTATGTTTTATTATATACTATAAAAATATCAGAAAAATTACCTTGATGTTCTTCTAAATCCATGTCAAGTTGTCTGATGTCTTCACTAAAATGATTAATTTTTTCTCTTATCTCTGTTAACCTGTTGAAAATATAATTTAATGAAGCCATGAAAAAATTTAAATATTCAGTAAAAATAATTGACTTCAGTAAGTCTTAAATCTTTTCTAAGTATTCCTTTTCTGGGAATACTAAATCAAATTAAGGTAAAGGTAAAGGTAAAGGCCCTCCCGTTGTTCATCGATTTGCTCGAGCAGGCCCAGTAACGTTTCCATTGGAGATTTTGTTGTTACTGTGTTTGGCATATCGAATACATCACGGGTGGCTTGCCAGGCTCTGCCGTGCGGGCGAGATACTTTCGGTAGCTTGCCGGGCTCTCCGAGAGGGGTGGAGGAATCGAACTTGGATTGGCCATGTTGGCTGCGTGCAAGGCAAACGCCCTACCGCTGTGCTATCACTCCAGCCCAAATCAAATTAAGAGAATTTTTTTTAATTCTTTTTAATGTTATATTCTGAGAACGAGAACTAGAAAATAACTTCTCGGAGTTTGGTTTTATAGTCTCTGGATCTTGGCTGTTGATGGGGTTACATGGCAGTTGGTGGGTGCAACTGTCTAGCTACCAGAAGATGGGAGATCTGGGTGAGGAGGCCCAGTCCCGAATGGAGCAGGACTGGAGATCTCAGCCCCAGGTCCCGCACACCTGGCTTCCTCTGCCCGTTCCTTCATGTGTGAGGCTCGTCCGAGCCTGTGGAGAGTGATCTTAGCATGGCTGTGGCTGGGTCTCGGAGGTCTTTAGCTGTCAGGGCTCTGCTCAGGGTGGAGAGGGAAATTCAACCTGTCACCCTCCAAGGGGCCCCAGAGAGGACAGCCAGGCGTGGGGGCAGGAGACTGCATTGTTCTCTTCAGGGAGCTTGGTTTTATAGTCTCTGGATCTGAGAGCCTGGCAAGCTACAGAGAGTATTCCGCCGGCACAGCAGAGCCTGGCAAGCTACCCGTGGCATAGACAATATGCAAACAATAGTAACAATGATGCTCCTCATTCCTCTGACCCCGAAAGAGCCCCCAATATGCCATCGGGCTACACTAGCACGTGGCAGGGACAAATGGAGACATTACTGGTGCCCTCTTGAGCAAATCGATAAACAACGGGATGATAGTGATAGTGAATGTTATATTCGGGTCTCAATAAACACCCAATAAGAGAGAGAGGACAAAAGGGAATGCCCTGCCACAGAGGCAGGGTGGGATGGGTGGGATGGGGGGTGGGAGGGATACTGAGATCCGTGGTGGTGGGAAATGGGCACTGGTGGAGGGATGGGTATTTGATCACTGTATAATTGGAACCCAAGCACAAAAGTTTGTAAGTCTACAACTGTACCTCATGGTGTCTCACTAATAAAAATTTTTAAAAAGGACGTACAAAAATGAATAAATAAATAAATTTTCAGACTATCTGCCTGTAACAACAAAGTATTCTCTAGCCTTCTTTGAGCTTGATTTATAATAAATAAAAAACCTTCAGCAATATTCTTTTTGCAGCTCTATAAAAACTAAGTTGGAAAATATAAAAATCAGAAAAATTGCCATTGGTAGAAAACTGAAGTGTTAAAAATATAAATAAGGTAGTCCTACTCTTGGGGCTGGAGTGATAGTACAGTCGGTAAAGTGTTCGCCTTGCATGCGACTGACCTGGGTTCAATTCCCAGCATCCCATATGGTCCCCTACGCACCACCAGGAGTAATTCCTGAGTGCAAAGCTAGGATACACCCTGTGAATCGCTGGGTGTGACTCAAAAAGCCAAAAACCTAAAAGCAAAAAAAAAAAAGAAAAACAAAGTGCTACTCTTTACAAAGCTATAGAAATCAAAATAGTGTGGTATTGGACTAAAAATAGACATATGTAGAAATGGAATTGAATTGTTTAGTCAAGAAATAAGATATTGGATCTATTTATACTTTTTTAACAAAGGTGCCAAAAAATTAAACGGGAGGCAATATTAATATTTATTGAAAAAATATTTAACAAATGGTGCAGGGATTACTCAATATGCATAAAGAAAAGAATGAAATTGGAATCCTATTTCATAGCATGTATATTAACTTATAAACTGATCATAGATCTAAACAGAATATAAAGTTCTTTTTTTTAAATGTAGGAGTATTGCTAATTATTCAGCCACTGATTAAGCTGATAGAATTGGGCATAAACTCCACCTTTTTCTTTTTTTATAAATTTATTGAATTAACGGGAGAGCAGTTACAAAGTTTTTAGGTTTAAGTCTCGGTCATACAATGATGAAACACCCGTCCCTTCACCAGTGTCCTTTTTCCACCACCAAAAACCCCAGTATACCCCCATCACACACCCTCCACGTACCTGTGGGGCAGATGCTTTCTACATTACTCTCTCTATACTTTGATTATATTCAATATTGACACCAGACCCAACATTATTATTTGGGATTTCACCCTACCACTCAGATCTGCCGAAAAGCCTGCCATAGAAAATTTGTTTTCTATTGCTGGTTATGAATAACATATGATGTTGTGTGGCTGCAGTAATGGCTGCATGATTTTGGAATTCTGAAATTTTAACAATTAAATCTGGAGGGATTTCTGCCAAAACCTGCTGGGTGTTCCTGAGTCTCTGGGATCATGGCCATTAGTCGCTTGATCAGGAGCCAGAGAGGCATTTGTGAGCAGCGACCAGGGGCCTTGTTGGGGTGGGGATCAAAGGGCTGGGCTCTGCCCCCATCCAGTGAGGTCCCACGTGTCTCATCACTGTGGGCCCAAACCTGACTGTCCAATGGCCTCTGGAGGATGGTGACCACCAAGCTGCCAAGAGGAATAAGTCAAGGCACAAAACCTATTCCCACCTGGGTGCTGATAACCTACTGTGGAGACCGGATGCATTTCTGCCAAAAGCCACTGGGTTCCGAGATTTGTTTCTGAGTCTCTGGGATCATGGCCATTAAGCAGTTTGATCAGGAATCAAAGAGGCCTTGTTTCCAATTATATAGTGAGCCGGAGGTGGTTTGTGGGTATGTCTCCCACATACCTAACTTTTGGCTGTTTACTTTCTTGGTAAACTTTGTCCCAAGTTGTTGGGGTCTGGCCAAAGGCACAGCAGCAATTCTGGAGTATCTAGAAGTCAGGCTGCTGATGCATTCACCTCACAGGTATAGATTGACCTACTGGCGGCACCATACCCCACAGAGTGTAAAGTTCTTAAAGGCATAAAGAAATGCTATTTCTTTATTCAGACAAAAAAATACTAGCAATAAGATATAGATAAGATTGATATAATCAGGATTCAAAATTTCTGTGCTTCAAAGAAAGTTAAAAGGTGGAGGGGGAGATGGCTCAAAGGGCCAGTGGTGATGCATTGTGAGCTAGAGCCTTAGGTTTGGTTTCCCAAGTACCACTGGGGGCGGCCACAAGCACTGCACTGGGAGTAGCTCCACACCACTGAGCATGCTGAAGGTTGAAGTCTGAAACCAAGACTCTAAGGGCATCCCTTGAACACTAAGCTAAGCACAGGAGTAGCCCAAGCAGCACAGGATGTGACCCAAAAGCCAAACAAACATACATACTTCCATGAAAGCAAGCAAGCAACCAACCTCCCCTGCTCCCTCACCAGAAAAAGGGCTTTGGAAAAGCCCTATAACTATGCTGTTCAGGAGTTCTTAACTAAACATACAAGATATAGTTAAAACTGTGAATAATATTGAAACTTGCATGATTATTCATAGTGAAAACTATTGAAAAAAATTTTAAATGACAAATTGCATGTAAAAATTTCCTAGTATAAATGTACTTACTGTCTTTCCATGCTGGCTATTTCCTGGTTATCTTCTTTGACCTATAAAAAGCATAAAAAGAGAGTAGTAATTAAGGCAACTTTCTTCAGATACCAGTCTGCAGACCCACAAGTGTAGTAAGTTGAAAAACACCGGTCTAAAAAAAAAAAAGAAAACACTGGTCCTTGGTCTTGGTTTTAACTACTGGTTAATGGACCAGTATGCATGACAGGAGTTGGTTGGCAGGTATATAAAGCTTAAACAATGCTGATTATAGGATAACTCATTGTTAAGACTATCATAAAGAGAAAAACCTATTCATAGATTTTTTCCTTCGTTCTAATAGGAAGAGTGGTCATTGGTATGTCCATACCTATGCACATGACATCAAGAACTTATTACATCGTCACATTAAAATTAGTTTATATAAACATCTAGAATTTCTGAGAAAGTCTCTTCCAACATCCCTCTCCACCCCATGTGCATATGGGGTGAATATAAAAACAAAGCAGAGTTCAAGATTTAGCATTTCTATAACATTAGTATTTTAGATAGTGACTTCAAGGCTATGTAATATACCATACAATATCTAAAATATACTTGTCCTTATATATAAATTTGCTTTGAAAGGTTACTCATTGATTGGACTGGAGAGATAGCACAGCTGGCAGGGTGTATGCCTTGCATTTGGCCAACCCTGGTTCAACTCCCTCGTCCCCCTGGGAGAACCTGGCAAGCTACTGAGAGTATCCTGCCCACAGGGCAGAGCCTGTCAAGCTCCCCATGGCGTATTCGATATGCCAAAAACAATAACAAGTCTCACAATGGAGACATTACTGGTGCCTGCTCGAGCAAATCGATGAACCGGAGGACAGTGACAGTGACAGTGACTCATTGATTATCTGAAATTTAAATTAACTAGTCTTCTGTATTTTATGATAGTCCTATCCTTTCAACCTCCAATCATCTCTTTACAAGGAACTCCTAAGGTTCTAGATTCTAATGCATTGTAAGATGATTCTATGCTTCAATAATTCGGGATATCCCTAAGATTCTTCTAAATCCATTGGCTTCAATTTAAGATAAATCTTATTTATAGACTCATGACGAAAGCTGTTCTAAGGACATTATAGTTAGGGTGTGTCAGGACAAACAATAAGCTAATTATAACTATAAAAGTTATCCTTGGAATAGCAAGAAATTACTAAGTCATATGACCTTTGATATATCATGAATTCATATGCCATTTCACTTCTATTAATTTTATAGAGGCATTGATAGTAAGAATAACAAGTCAGTAGACTTAATTTTCTAAATATCAGACCCAAAACAAATAATGGGACAGATCTTAAATAAGACGAATTATTGACCAGTAGGATTTCAAGTTTTTCCTGAGAGAACCCAAAATATGTGCATTGGATCCAAAACAGGAGATAAGAATACAAAACATGGGGGTACGGTGCCACCAGCAGGTCAATCTGTACCTGTGACGTGAGTGCATCAGCAGCCTGATGGCACCGTCAGACTTTTAGATACCCCAGAATTGCTGCTGTGCCTTTGGCCAGACCCAAAAAACTTGGGGCAAAGTTTACCAAGAAAGTAAACGACCAAAAGTTAGGTATGTTGGAGACACACCCACAAACCATCTCCGGTTCAGCTATATAATTGGAGGCAAGGATTCTCTGGTTCCTGATCGAACTGTTTAACGGCCATAATCCCAGAGACTCAGAAACAAATCTCTGAACCCAAAGGCTTTTGGCAGAAATGCGTCCTGTTCCTGCAGTAGGTTACTGGCACTGGGCCAATCCAGGTGGGAATAGATTTCAGGCCTTAGCCTGTTCCCCCTGGCAGCCCAATGACCGCCATCCTCCAGAGGCCCCAGGACAGTCAGGTTTGGGCCTGCGGTGACGAGTCACACGGGGCCTCACCAGATGGGGGTGGAACTGGCCCTTTCCTCCCTGTGTAAACTCACACAAGATGGGGCACGGCACCCACAGTGGCGGCTCTATCTCTCCCGCCGCCCGCGTTCGGTAGTCTCACCCTTCTCCCACCCCGGAGAGGTCGATGGCGATGGTCAGGCAGAGGAAGGAACGAGGGCCAGGCTGGTAGGTATTAGTCATAGTTTATTCTGATTCTCTCCTCATCTCTCCTCCTGTCTCTGCCCCCATTCTTCCTCCCCCAGCTACTTCATTCTCCTTCTCCATTCCCCTTCATCCTCCTTCTCTGGAGTCTGGGTTCTGATCCTCTCTGAACTCTCTTCTTCCTTCTCCCCCCAGCCCACTCCTCCAGTACAGTTAAATCCTCTCTCCATGAGGAATTGGGGAAACAATTACACATAGGTGTGGTCACAATCAATAGGGGTAGAGATCAACAGGGGTAGAAATCTTAGCCTCAGGGAAGACCGCTCCTAGGACAGATCCTTCCTCAGCAGGAGGACCCACCCTAGAGCAGAATCCCATGGGCGTGCCTCTCCTCTCCTTGTCCGACAAGCATATAAAATATAATATAAATCATTTTGTATGGATACAGTAAGAAATATCTTAAACTTATAGAATTGCTCTCCTAGGGCCATCTTGATCTCAGACTACGGTGCTCAGGCCAGATAGTCTTTCCCACCCCTAGCAGGATCCTAGTCTTGTCGTTACCTTGGATCATGACAGCATTTGTCCATGATCAAACTCTTAACTTATAGTTAAGAATCGTGGCACTTTGGCCTGGCCCATTTCGCTGCCAGGGTAGCTCACTGCTTGCCCTGGGTCCATTCAGTCCCTCATCGGGACCCTGCTTTGGGGTGTTAGGAACTAAGGGCAACTGAGGCTTAAGTCGAGAAAGCAGATGCCCGGGAGTGAATAATATTCAAGGCCAATCAAATCCTAAGTTACAAAGCATAATGTTAACGGTCTTCCTGTATCTATACAAAAAGGATATTACTTTAAAGTAAACTGTTCATAAGGCATAAGGTGAGGAGAAAGGCAATATTTCACTCATACATATAAAATCATAGATTTCTGGGAAACTGATCTTACAAATTAACAAAGTCTGATTAAGGGGAAAGCTGATTAACTGGGTGGGAAGGAGAGCATAGGGAAGACTGTTTACTTGTTTACATGTAAACACAATGGAAGTGGAAGTGCTTCAGGAGCACTGTGATGGGTGTAACCAGATTGATGGGTGTAACCAGATTAATGGGTGTAACCAGATAAAACCTAAGCTTCTTGAAGGACAAAGCAATGTTACCCAACACCTCCCCATCCCAACAAGACCCCGACTTGCTGCCTACAAACAGCCTCTCTGGCTCCTGATCAAGCTGATTAACGGCCATGATCCCAGAGACTCAGAAACAAATCTCGAAACCCAGTGGCTTTTGGCAGAAATGCATCTGGACCGCATACAAGGTGGCCACCGCCTCAGAGCTTATAGGAAAGCCAGATGTGAGCTGGCGGTGATGGGGCAACTGCAGTCTCATGGAAAGAGGAATGCTACCAGCTCGTCCATCATGCCCTATTGAGGTCACGAGTTGCCCCCCACGAGTGGCTCTCTGGCACGGCCATGGCTCCAGAGGCAAAAAGACTTAATCCAAAACTCGGCAGCTTGCAGCAGAAAAGCGAATGGTCCATGCATTAAACTATGGTGCCATGCCTCCCAGGGAGGGAAAGGGTGTTGCTCCTTTAAGCCTTTTTCTCCCCCCTCACCTCTCCTACCCTCGCCACGGAAGCAAGTTGGCCGTCGCCTCAGAGCTTATTGGAAAGCCAGGTATGAGCTGGTCGTGACGGGGCAACTGCAGTCTCATGGGAAGGGAGGTGGTACCGGCTTATCCTTCACTCCCTACTGAGGTCATGAGTTGCCTCCCACAAGCAGCTCTCCAGAACGGCCATGGCTCCAGAGGCAAAAGGACTTAATCCAGAGCCCGGCAGCTTGCGGCAGAAAAGTGAATGGACCATGCGTTAAACTATGGTGCCATGCCTCCCCGAGAGGGAAAGGGTGTTGCTCCCTTCCACCTCCCCCCGCCCCCGGGCAGCAAGCTGGCCGCCACCTCAAAGCTTATAGGAAAGCCAAGTATGAGCTGGCGGTGACAGGGTAACTGCAGTCTCATGGGAAGAGGGGCGGTACCAGCTCGTCCTTCACACCCTACCGAGGTCATGAGTTGCCCCCCACGAGTGGCTCTCTGGCACAGCCTTAACACCAGACACACAAAAACCAATCTCGTAATGATCTGGCTCTTTGCAGAAATCCAAAATCATTATATGACATTATATGATTCTCATACCAGCTATAGAAAACAAGTATTTCACAATGCCTTTTCAGCAATTCTGATTGTTGGGGGAGAAATTCTAAACAATAATGGTGCATCTTTTGTCGAAATAATGAATGTAATCAATGTAGAGAAGAGTTAAGTAGAAATCATCTGCCTCACAGGCATTTGGAGGGTGGGAGGGGGTATACTGGGGTTCTTGGTGGTGAAAAATGAGTACTGGTAAAGGGAAAGGTGTTTGATCATTGTATGACTGAGACAAACCTGAAAGCTTAGTAACTTTTCCCACAGTGATGCAATAAATAAATATAAAAAGAAAAAAAATAAAATTATGGAAAAGAAAGTAAGGTGTTCATGCCCAATTCAATCAGCTAATCAGTGACTGAATAAATAGCAGTACTCCTATATAAAAAAAATAAAATAAAATAAAAAAATACAAAACAGGGGTTAAGGAGCTTGCCTTGCAGGAAGCTGATCACCTATTGGTCCTCAGGGTGGAATATGGCCCTTGAACTCCACTGGGTGGGGTACCCAAAACCAACTCCCCATTACCTACCAAAAAACTGAAATATGAAAAACTAGTCAAATGTATATGAAGGCCATATTAAAATAGTATTTAAATAAAAATATGGAAAACTAGATTTTTAAGTGGTTCATATTAATTTAGGCAATACTTTTCACTGTTTTGGGAACAATAAACTCATACTAGTTTTTTGTTCAATTTGTATGCCCTAAATAAAACAAATACATACATCTAGCAAGACCTGACACACTAAAATGCATATGATTGGTCTTCTTCTACCTGCTTAAGTAATCTTTCTCGCTCTTCTTTTGGCGATCCCATGTTTTTGTCTTCTGCAATCATTTGATCTCGATGGGACTCCAATTCATAAAGTTTCTCATGCAGCAATACAGCATCCTGTTTTACTTGGGAGTGTGCTATTTCCTGAAAGGAACACAAATTTTTTAAAAGGAAAATTTTCATCAGAAACTATTCTCAAATAGGTTTCAGTTTATGAGATGAAGAAAATTTAAACCATTATTATCTTTTTTATTATTATTTTTAGACAATGTGTTTTGTTTTGCTTGTTATGGACACAATATAATGTCATGACCGCACACTCTAGGAATTCTAAAATTTCAATAATTAGGGTCTGAAGAGATCGATGCAGCAAATTTCTCTGGTCTGAGATTCGTTTCTGTGTCTCTGGATCATGGCCGTGTGGGAGCTTAAGTAGATGGTGGCCGGATGTGGCGTCATCTCAGAGTCTCATCGAGGCAGGGGGAAGGAGAAGGGCCCATTCCTCCCCTGTCCTGTGCAAACCATTATCTTTATTTTATTTATTTGCTTTTTGGGTCACACCCGGTGATGCACAGGGGTTACTCCTGGCTCTGCACCTTAGTGAGAATTACTCCTGGCGGTGCTCGGGGGACCATAAGGGATGTTGGGTATCGAACCCAGGTTGGCCACGTGCAAGGCAAACACACTATCCGTTTTGCTATTGCTCCAGCCCCCACTAGTATCTTTAAATAGAGATATAAAACACCTATAGTTCTTACTGATGCTAGAAACCCCCCCCTTTTTTTTTTCTGGGTCACATCCAGCTATGCTCAGGGTTTACTCCTGGCTTTGCACTCAGGGATCACTGGCTAGGGGAACTAAAAGGTGCCAGGGATTGAACCCGGGTCAGTGCCTGCAAAACAAGCACCTTACCTGCTGTACTATCTCTAAACCCCCAAAACACTTCTAAACTAAAATAAAAATAGATCTCTTTAAGGGCCGAGAGATAGTATAGTGGTTGTAGAACCTGCATTGCACGCAGCTGACTCAGATTAGATCTTGAGCACTACCAGGAGTGATCCCTGAGTGCAGGGTCAAGTAAGCCCTGAGAACCTCTAGATGTGTATCTTAAACAAAACAAAACAAAACAAAATAATTCCCTGTATTAATTGTATAAGCTACATTCAATCGAACATTGAAACATTCAATCGAACATTGACACAGGATATGGTAGCCTTTGATTTTGGAGCACAGAAGGTGAAGTGGGGGATGAGGGGTTGGGCCAAACCTGATTGTGATCAGGAGGACCCACATGCATTGTTGATTGAACTAGGATCAGACTCATGACTGCATGAAAGGTAAGCTTAGCATAACCCCATCCAGTTCCATCCATTTTGTCAAACAGCAAGATAACATCTTTCCTTATAGCAAAACACTATTTTATTTTGTATGTATACCACAACTTCTTTACCCAATTACCCATCATTGGGCACACAGTTTTTTTCCCATATTTTGTTTATTATAAATAGAATTGCAATGAACATGAGAGTGTGTATTATATCACGATCACGATCATCCTGTTGTCCATCAATTTCCTCGAGCAGGCACCAGTAACATCTCCTTTCTAGCCCTGAGATTTTGAAAGAGCCATTTCAATGCTCTTTCAGGATTAGGAGAATGAGACCCATCACTGTTACTGGTATTTGGCATATTGAATACGACACAGGAAGTTTGCCAGACTCTGCCCTGCGGGCAAGATACTTTTGGTAGCCTGCCAGGTTCTCCAAAGGAAAAATAAGATAATAAGATGTTGCGCGGCCGTGAATGTCTTGGCTATTGATGGGACCAACCTGGTGCTGGCGGCAGCTGTTGGGTGTGACGCCTACCTACTGGAAGATGGGGGGTCTGGGTGGAGAAGGCCCAATCCCAATCCAAGTAGGCTTGGAGACCTCAGCTCCGGGACCCGCATGCCTGGGTTCCTCTGCCAGTTCTTTCATGCATGAGGCCCGTCCGGACGTGTGGAGAGTGGTCCCAGCATGGCCGTGGCTGGTTCCAGAGGTCCTCAACTGCTGGGGCTCTGCTCGGGGTGGGGGGAAGGGGGAGAGAAACTCAACCCTTCCCCCTCCAAGGGGCCCCAGTGAGGACAGCCAGGCGTGGGGGCAGGAAACTCTGTATTATATATATTATATATATGTATTTATATATGTGTATTATATATTTATATAATTACTAGTGATTTTGTATTCTTTAATATTCTTTTGTATTCTTTAGATAGCTAGGAGTAAAATGGTAGACCACATCTAAAATATTTTGAGAAACTTGAATGGTTTTTTACAGAGGCTAGAACAGTTTGCATTCTCATAGAGTACAAACACAAGTATTCCCTCTTCCAACACCCTCAACAGCACTTGTTGCTTCGAGTTTTCTGACACAGGTTATTCCCATAGATGTCTGGTGATGTAGTTTTGATTTGCATTTTCCTAATAATAAAGTGATAATTACCAACTTTTTAATTTGCCTAATGGTTACGTGTATGGCTTAAATGAACACTCGTGTGTTGGGCTCTTCTGTCCTTTTTTGGATGAGGAATACTTGTATTTTTTATTCTTGAGTACTTTATATATTTTGAATATTAGCTCCTTGTATAATACTCATTCCCTCTTTAATAAAATGTCTTTTAGTTTTAATGGCTGTTTAACAGTTTAACATGGCCGACCCGAGTTCAATTCCTCCGTCCCTCTCGGAGAGCCTGGCAAGCTACCGAGAGTATTCGATATGCCAGACACAGTAACAACAAAGTCTCCAATGGAGACGTTACTGGGCCCGCTCGAGCAAATCGACGATCAACGGGAGGGCCTTTACCTTTACCTTTACCTTTAGTTTTAATGACTTCTTCTTTTGTGATCGATCCATAAGTTTTTTAGCTTGATGTTCCATTTCAGCAAAAAAAATTATTTTTGCTTTTGGTCTGCTTTGAAGTTGAGTCTCCAAAGACATCACAGAAACAAATATAGAAACTACTATTGCCTGCAATTCTATAATGTGTTATATGGTTTAAGATCTTCCATCTTATTATTTTTGTTGTTGAAAATCTTTCACTTTCTTTATAAGTTTGTGCTTACCTTTTTTTCCCTATCTGGAGAAACTTAGTGAAGTAAGTTAAATGGGGAAGATAAATACCAATGATTTCATTCAGAAGAGGCATAAAAATAAATCAAAAGTGAAGTAAAATAAAAATCAACGTTTAGACTGAAAGAAAATAAATTTACCATTAGGTATCATGTTATGATTTGTACTCAATAACTGAATCTAATTTCTCACCAAATTAGGATATCTCTAGTTTTAAGTGAGAAAAATTTAGTGTATTATTATTTATAACCTATAAATAAATCACTTGATAATTTCCATTAATATTTATAGATAAACCATCTTTTGTAGCTAAACAAGAGAACACCATTTTTTATTTTATACTTACAGTTTCCATGCTCTCTTTTTTTATATTCAGTGAATCTAGTTGTTGCTGAAGTGTGTCCAATTCCTAAGAAGAAAGGGGAAAGCAAAAAATTTCAAGTTACACTAATGCTTCTCTGCTTATTAAAATTTCAAAATTAAAGGTGGCAAAGTAAATCTTACAAACATCTTCAAGTCATACTTGTAATTTAAGTAGCATTTATAAACATTATTTTTTCCCTAATTTCTTTTGTTATTCCTAAAAACCCTGCCATAATATGCCCATTAAAATACACCATGAAAAAAAGAAAAGGAAAATAAAAAATAAATGAAAGTCACTACAAGAGCCAAGGAGATGGGATGGGTTGGGGGTTAGTGAGTTTGTAAAGTGCATTCCTTGTACCCCACAGACTTTGGATAATCAATACCCAGTATCACATATGATTCCCCCAAACAACTACAGGAGTGATCCCTAAACACAAGATAGGAATATGTCCTGAACACCACTAGGTGTGGCCCCAAAATCAAAAAAATAAATTTTTAAGATACATTACAAGAGTTCAAGGATATGTGGGGCCAATCTGAGTTCAATACCAGGCATCCCATCTGGTCTCTGGAGCACCACCACGAGTAATTCCTGAGTTATGAACCAGGAGTAAGCCCTGAACATTGCTGGGTGTGCCCCTTCACAAAAAAAAAAAAAAGTTTAAGGATGTGGCTCAAAAGCACAGCACATGCTCTGCATGTGTGAGGTCCTGGGTTAGATCTCAGACCACCCACACCGACACACCGACACACACACACACACACACACACACACACACACACACACACACAATGAGCTCATCAAAATTATTCAGATCTTTTCATAATGCTGTTTTCTAAGAACACTAAATATTATAGACCTTCAAATTAAAGTCATTTAAAATTATGAACTTTTTTCTTTTTTTTAAATTTTTATTAGTGAAACACCATGAGGTACAATTGTAGACTTACAAATTTTTGTGCTTGGATTTCAATTATACAATGATCAAATTTTAACTTTATTTTTTTACCATGTTTTTATATCAATTGTCTAGGTTCTTTTATTTATTTATTTATTTATTTATTTATTTTTATGTAGGAGTACTGCTATTTATTCAGCCACTGATCAGCTGATTGAATTGTGCATGAACTCCACCTTCCTTTTCTTTTTTCATTTTTTATAATTTTATTTATTGAATCACCGTGAGAGCAGTTACAAAGCTTTTGGGCCTAAGTCTCGGTCATACACTGAAACACCCGCACCTTCACCAGTGCCCATTCTCCACCCCCAACAACCCCAGTATACTCCATCCCACACCCTCCCACTACCTGTGGGGCAGATCATTTCCACATTACTCTCTCTCTCTACTTTGATCACATTCAACACTTTGACACCAGACCCACCATTATTATTTGAGATTTTACCCCAACACTCAGATCTGCTGAAAAGGCAACAGTAGACAATCTGTTTTCTATTGCTGGTTATGAATAACATATGATGTCGCGTGTCTGCAGTAGTGGCCGTGCGATTTTGAAATTCCAAAATTCTAACACTTAAATCTGGAGGGATTTCTGCCAAAACCTGCTGGTTTCCAAGATTTGCTCCTGGGTCTCTGGAATCATGGCCATTAAGCAGCTTGATCAGAAGCCAGAAAGGCCATTTGTGGGCAATGACTTGGGGTCTTGTTGGGGTGGGGCGGACAGAACTGGCTCCACCCCCGTCCCATGAGGCCCAACAAGTTTCGTCACTGAGGGCCCAAGCCTGACTGTCCAATGGCCTCTGGAGGATGGCGGCCACCGAGCCACCAAGGGGGAGCAGGTGGAGGGACAGCACCCTTTCCCTTCTGGGGTGGCCCGGTGACAGTAACCTACTGCGGGGTCTGGACACATTTCTACCAAAAGCCACTAGGTTTTGAGATTTGTTTCTGAGTCTCTGGGATCATGGCCGTTAAACAGCTTGATCGGAGCCAGAGAGGCCATTCATGGGCAATGACTTGGGGTCTCGTTGGGGTGGGGAAGACAGGACCGGCTCCACCCCCATCCCATGAGCCCTGCGTGTCTCGTCACTGAGGGCCCAAACCTGACTGTCTAATGGCCTCTGGAGGATGATGGCCACTGAGCCATCAGGGGGAAGAAGGCGGAAGCAGGCGGAGGGACAACACTCTTTCTCCCTGGGGTGGCCCGGCTACAGTAACCTACTGCATGATCCAGACGCATTTCTGCCAAAAGCCACTGGGTTTTGGGATTTGTTTCTGAGTCTATGGGATCATGGCCGTTAAGCAGCTTGATCAGGAGCCAGAAAGACTGTTCGTTGGTGATGACTTGGAGTCTCGTTGGGGTGGGAGGACAGGACCGGCTCCACCCCCATCCCATGAGGCCCTATTCCCACCTGGGTTGGCCCAGCACCAGTAACCTACTGCAGCGACCAGACGCATTTCTGCCAAAAGCCGCTGGGTTTCGAGATTTGTTTCTGAGTCTCTGGGATCATGGCCATTAAGCAGTTCAATCAGGAACCAGAGAGGCCAGGCCTCCAATTATATAGCTGAGCTGGAGGTGGTTTGTGGGTGTGTTTCCCACATACCTAACTTTTGACCGTTTACTTTCTTGGTAAGCTTTGCCCCAAGTTTTTGGGATCTGGCCAAAGGCACAGCAGCAATTTGGGGGTATCTGGAAGTCTGAAGGCGCCATTCATGCTGCTGATGCACTCGCCTCACAGGGCACCATACCCCTTTGTCTAGGTTCTTTTAGAGCCAAGAGCTAAGTCAATTTATATGATTCACTCCTAGGAATAACACCCTTAATCTGATGACACATTTGACACTCAACTGTAAGAAAAACCGTATTTTGTCAATATGTTCTGTACGTTTTTAAATGACCCATCTCATCTTGTTAATCTTGTCTAAAATTAAAATTTACATTAAGTTGTCAGAGAGACAATATCCAAGAAACCAAAATTGTAAGTATTATTGGCATATCTGAATATTAATTCCCTTTCACTATTTGGTTAAGAGTTATTTGGACACTAGAGTGCCTGATTACTAATATATCATAACCAAGTATGTGTAAACACAGCTACAGTAAAGCATGTGACCCCTGGTAAGCAGTGAAACTAAGTGTGTAAGTACTACGAGCAAGTTGGCAACCCCAGTCAAGCGCCACAGCCAAAAGCATGTGAACACAGCAATCAAGGATGTGTGGTCACCAGACACCATCACAAAAATAAAAGGGAAGAGAAAGGAATGAACAACAATAAAAATAAAATGAAAATTTTTGGAGAGATTCCAAAATTTATATGTTCAAATGAATCATTTACAGACCTCCTTAAAATGAAGATTTTGAGGAGCTGCATGTGGTCAATTCTGGTCTGCTGCCCCGAGCGCTGCTAGGTGTACCAGTGGAGGCTCCTGAACTCTGCAGTGACCTGCGGAATCCTTGGCATGGGCACCACAGAGCTGAGCAGCAAAACATCCTCTTATCCTTGCACTAAACTCCCTAACTGGTCAAAAGTCCTGGGAGGAACTTCCTGAGCACTAGTTGGAACGCCTCCCCCCACCCCTGCCCCTGAAATAAAGAAAATAAAAGGATGATTTGATCAATAGGTTTAGTCATGTTTTTATGGGGTGCTGATACTGCTGGCCTTCAGACCTTACTTTTAGTAGCAAAACTGTTATTTATGAGAGTATCATAAATTGTTTTTGTTACCTGCAATAACTTCTCATTTGTGGCTTTCATTTCCATGTATTTCATTTGTTGTTCAGGTGGCATATTCTTTATAATGCCATCTGCTGCTTGCTTTTCTTGTTCAATTTCTTCTTCAACACCTCTAATTTGTTTTTCTTTCCTGAAATCCAAAGTATGCAATATTCCTCTTATTACTGTGAATGAAAATTTAATTTTACTAATGTGACAATTAATAATAACTAATTAAAGCATACTAAAGCTATTTAACCACATGTTGTTTTTTCTTATGGGAAAATTCTTATAGTTGTACAAAAACATCCTATTTGACCCGTAAACATTTTTGCACCCTCAGTACAAACTTATTTTATGTGTTTCTCTTTTCAGCCTCCAAATCCTTCAGTTTGCTTAATCTCAATTTTACTTCACATTCTTATAGAAAAACACAAGTACTGTCAGGAAAATCCTTAGAATTTAACATATATTAAGTATCTTTATACTTTTTGTTATCATGCTCATGACAAATAATGATTTTACAGTGGTTTATAAACATCTTTAAGATACAGAATTTTTTAACCTAAATGAAATCTTACATAAAACAGTTAGTTTATAAATCAGATAAAGTAACACATAACTATAGAGTCAGTGGACCTAAAGTGAAATTTAATTTAAAAAGAAATCAGTGTCCAAGATCTATTTCAGTGGCAGAGCTTAAGATTCCCAAGGAGGTTTGGGACTGGAGAGAATACGGTGGTAAGACACTTAGCTTACATGTATCTGACCCTGGTTTGATCCCTGATACCACATATAGTACCCTGAGCACTACCTGGAGTAATTCCTGAGTACAGAACTGGGAGTAAGCCCTGAGCATGGCCAGGTGTGGCACAAAAACACAAAACAACTAATAGAGGATCCCTGGTGAATGCAAAAAGAAAAAAAAAATCATAACTTTAAAGTAGTATGTTTTGCTCAACCTCCCTTTTGTACATTTAAAATGCTGACAACACATGTAAAAATCAGTGGCTCACACTTACTTGTGGTTTATTTAATGAACACAGATTTCAGTGCCAATGTCAACATGTTAAATAGATATTCCACATATTACCAAATGTAAAACTGTTAATTTTCACTAAAAGTGCCGTGAAATAGATAATTTCCATAAGAACATAAATAACAACATTAAAAAGCCAGAGAGAGCTCAACAAGCTGAGCACTGTTTTGTATGCAGGACACTTGTGTTATATATGACATACATGGTCTACTCAGTACTAACAGGAATGATCTCTAAGCACCGAATCAGGAGTAGCCCTCAACCAGCATCAGGTGTGGCCTCCCCAAAATAAAAAAGAACACTAGGTATATAATTATATAAAAGCAAGAGTAGTAATAGCAGTAGAAATAAACTTGATGAGAAATTATAACATAATATTTATAGCTTATCTATCACATAATCACAAGAATCCCTCTTATAACCTATATAAGGTCAATAGGGGAGAGAAAAATTCTGAATAAAAATAGAAAAGGGGCCAGAGCAATAGTACAGCATTTAGGGCACTGCTTTTCATGCAGGCAACTGGGGTTCAATCCCCGGCATCCAATGAAGTCCATCGAACACCACTAGGTGTAGTTCCTGACTGCAAAGGCAGGAGTAACCCATGAGCATCGCTCGGTGTGGCCCCCAAATAAAACCCCTCCAAAATAAATAAACAGACAAGATGCTATTATGTAAATACCTCAACATTTACATGTAAGAATCTTGCATGAAAATAAAGTTCTTGGTTACAAATTTTTGACTTTCATGATTAATATACTTGCAATTTACTTTCTCTTACATAGAAACTTTGTTTCCATAATTACTAACCTTAGCCAATACACGCATATATCATATGTATATACTAAATTTTTCTCACCCATACTCTACTACTAGAATAAATCTACACTAAACTATTGCCCTGCATACATTATAAAATAAATAAAATAGTCAGCCTGAAATTTCTATTACACTGACCCATTGTGTTAGAGAGTGATGTCTTCGCTCTAAAATTTTATCCTAAATAGTAAATATGTCTGCTAATGCTACCATGAGTAAATGGGTTTACAATAAGCGGTGGAGGGAGGGGGGATTTGGGATTCATTCCAATATCTGGTTTACAGATTAAAGATCCTGAGCCCCAGAGTAATCTTTTGAAACTCATTCTGAACTTCAGAATTATTCAGTCTAAATAAAGAATCGCAGCCACATTGTGACTTAATGTGTCTACTGCAGTTAGATGGGAACTAATGGAGCACTGTATTCCAATTTACAGAAGAGAAGTTACACTACAAGGAAGGTAACTGATTTTTTTTTAAGCCACAAAATAAATTGCTAAGTGTCAGTTCTTCTGATGCTTTGAGCACTTTGCTCCTGTTATAACTTGGCAGTAAAACCACCAAATGATGGTGTCATAAAAATGAGTAAACAAAGCTGAAACTCTGGAATGTAAAACAGTGGTATCATTTCAACCTGAGTCTTTCTAAACAAAAAATATCTTCAGGCTAATTTTCAAATCACTTCAGCATATATCTTTCAAAGCATGATTTTTAAATATAGTATACATTAATTCACAAAATGACATTCAGTAATTTTGGCTTTCATGAATAAGAAACACAAAGTTACATCAACCACTCAACTTGTTACACTGAAACAAGTCAAAGATGACTTTAAGAAATTATTCTTCTAGTCAATCTTTTGCTAAGGAAGTTTAGAGCACTTTTTTTTTAATCACTTGTTCACAGGGTACAAAGGTTAAAACAAAGTGAAATGCAATCATATGACATACTTTCTTTTTTTTAATGGTGTAGAAGAAACAGGATAGATTCCCTAGCATACCACTCTTTACGACAAAAGCAAAAGGTAAAAGGTAAGATTCTTTATTTTTATAGGTTTGGTGGTGGTAGCTGTGATTTTCTAAAAATCGAACAAAAAAATTATAGCAGTGTGTTAAGTCATATGATTACGTTTGTCTTGTATTAGTGATGAGAGAGAAGAAAATATTATATTGCCACATGACTCATCTTAGACATAATAACTTAGGACATACTAAAGCATGTTTTTTTCAAATAAAGCTAAATTATAATGCAAAATAATTGTTTTCCTTTTGAAAACTGAAAATTTTATCTAGTCAATTAAACCATAAGATTTTTTTATTTTTATAAAGATACTGATGACCAATCCCATTTTAAGGGAAATTAACTTACGAACACACTTATAAGATTAAAAAAAAAAAAAGCTATTAGTTGATAATTATTGAAAGTGGGCGGGAACTATTCTCCTTAATTATAATATTTTTACATTATAAAGATTTTATATTTGAAGTCTACAAGATGATTAATTACTGGGGCCAGAGTGATAGTGCAGCATGTTGGGTGTTTGTCCTGAACACCGTCAGAAGTAATTCCTGAGTGCAGAGCCAGGAGTAACTCCTGAGCATTGCAGGTGTAACCCAAAAAGGAAAAAATTTTTTTAAAATGATTCATTACTGGAGTGAAATTGCTGTGAATTACTAACCTCTTATTTCAAATACATTGAATTTTAACAAATTTCAAATAGTGACAAAACAATATATCCATCTTATTTAGTAAATCCAAAATAATTGCAGCATATTTCTTTTAATTTAAAACTTTTCCCACTTTTTTGTGATTTCTTTTTTATCTTTTTAATTGAATCCCATGAGAAACAGCATATTTATATACCTCAAGTATATAATTCATATAAAGAAAATTACCAAAAATTCCTAAGTGACTTGTATTTAAAACTGCACTCTGAGGAATATTGTTTCATTCTCAACATCTATCATTTGTTTTATGTAAAACTTTATTACTATAATAAAATAATAGTAGATTCTAGGCTATTTAAAATGACACTGAATGGTGTAAAATAATTTAAAAAAATCAAAGCCAAATATCACTTAAAAATTTTAAAAACTGAAAGTTCAAAAGGAAAAAAAAGTTTTGTTTTTTAATTTTTTAATTTTTTTTTTTTTTTTTTTTGCTTTTTGGGTCACACCCAGTGATGCACAGGGGTTACTCCTGGCTCTGCACTCAGGAATTACTCCTGGCGGTGCTCGGGGAGACTATATGGGATGCTGGGAATCAAACCTGGGTCGGCCATGTGCAAGGCAAACACCCTACCTGCTGTGCTATTACTCCAGCCCAAGTTCTGTTTTTTTAAACCCAACTTTTAAAATAGTAAATTAATTCAGAGATGATTTCTACATAAACTAGAGGCTTGCTATTCTGCCAAACTGATTTTCTTAAGATAGTCAATAAAGCTAGCAGTTTTCTGTTTAGGGATTTATCTATTAAGTGCAGTAATAATCAATATTCACTCCATCTCTGAATACATCTCTTTCAAAACCACATACAAAAAATCCCCTTAGACATGTGGATCAAAGTATTTCATAACTTTGAACCTAATAAGTGCTAAATATTTTATTGTACAGAATCTGTCTTAACTACTATTACATATTGTCTCTAACTTTAATACTTATCCAATAGAAAAGAAAAAGACTTTTTTCTTTTTCGAGTCACACTCAGCAATGCTCAAGGGTTATTCCTGGCTCTGTGTTCAGGAATTACTCCTGGCAGTGCTTGGGTGACCATATGGGATGCTGGTTGGCATATTGAACCCTGGTTGGCTGTATGCTAGGCAACACCCTACCCACTGTACTATCACTCTGACCCCTAAAGACTTATTTCTTTTAGCATGCTAGACAAGTAGTCAGTGAGAAAGATAATATAGGATGACTCTCCGTATCCTTTTTATATGGACCCCCCCTTACCTTCTTCAGTTGCTTCTATTCCATACCAACTCTTAAAAGTCTGGTTAATTTTCGTTGTGGTCTCTGTACTTTAAGTCCTATTTCTAAAAGAATGCTAATTCTCCCTCACCATTGTATTGTACCCACACTAAAATCTTAACAGGGATTGAAATACTACTAAAAACACCAAATCAAATAATTGAAGGAGCTATACACTTATCCTATGATCATTAAACACAGGTAAAGCACCTTTAATACATGATTTGGGGATCCCTTTTGCAGGCAATGGTATGCAATAAACGACAGTTTGAACTCATCTCTGTCCAAGTATATAAAATGCAGAAGGAACAATGACTATTCTTAA